AAGAGGAGAGATTTCCTCCACTATGCCATTATATGAATATAAAATATAATTTGGAAATTAAATAAAAAAAAAATTAGAGAGAATAATTACTTAATAAGAGAGATTGTAAGAGTAAGTAGAAAGAATAAATGAAATAATATAGAATAGAGTGTAGTAATATTGTAGAAAGAGTAAGTAGAGAAGTGTAAGTATAGTGGTAAGAGGAGAGTAAGTAGAGGCAGAGTTTTTTGAGATTTTTTTTTTGTAATGAATTTGTAAAATAAAATGAGGTAATTTATAATAAAATCCAAAAAAATTCCAATTTTTCCAAAAAATACCAAATTTGAAACTAGCCGTTTATGTAGCCGTTTATGGCTGTTGGGAGGGGTAATTAAGTACATTTCAAACAAACAAATTAAAAAAAAAAAACTGCAAAAATCTGACAGTTTACAACAGCTTAGAACCGTCGGTTCGAACCCCGCACGAAGAAACCGGCGTTCCAAGAACCGGCGGTTCCAGTCCAGTTCTGATCGGTTCTCTGGAACCGCCGGTTCTGGTTCCTTATTTGCTGGAACCGGAACCGAACCAGATTTTTTCAGTTCCGGTTCATCCCGGTTCCGGTTCTCACCGGTTCCGGTTCCCGGAACCGTAATATGGCCATGATTACTCCCATGGTTGATTTTTTAGAAGTTCCTGTTTATTCCGTGTAGTTGGTGAAATCAGTTACTCAGGGATTGTTTATTTGGATTGAATGTTAGAATCTGAATCAAACAGCTTATTATATTAAATGATTAAGCGGTGTTATGAATAATAATTTGAATGAGTGTATTTTTTACATATTTGACCTTCTATATTTTATATGTAATGTATTTTTCACATAATAACAAAATTTACATTATATTATACTATTAGGTAACGCCAAATATATAAATTTAACTTATTATTCAACTATTAGCATAATATGATTATAAATGATATAATTGTATAGTAAGTAGTAATTTATGCATCAACCAAAAAAAAAAAAAAGACATAATCGTCTCCCTCGCTCTCTGTTTTTGTGTTCTTTTAGATTTTGTTTTCTAAACAACTGCCGAGTTTCTCCTTTGGTTGGCGGTGGTTTTTTTTCCATCAATTTTTAATCCTTTGGAACAAAATTTGGATTTAGTTTCTCAAATCTTTAATAGTTGATAGATCTTGAGTGTTATTTGATACCCTTTTAGTGGGGGTTATTAATTTCTCTCCTTCTCTCCTTTCATAGGGTTATTCCTTATTATTGAGGAGTTTTATTGAAGAGTTTTTATGTAGATCTTTTATTTCTTTGGCAGTTCAAAATATAATATAGATTGTTGGTTGCTTGTAATTGAAAATGTCAGGTTTTCAAGTTCGGGTAAGGTTCTTTTGCCCATGGAGCTGGTAGTGTGACTTGTTATTCCATTTAAGTTTGATATATTAAACTCTTGTACGAGTGTCAGTTGAAATAAATTTTCAAAAAACAAAGTTTGGGATAATATTGTGAAAAGTTTTTTTTATTGTTCTATTTGAAAACGGAGCAGTTTATGCTCGGAAAATTAAACTCTTCTACCAAGATCAAGATCATCGGTAAACAGAAATTTAATTTTCTATATATTCATATAGGAATCTATATATCCATATGAAAGCTGGAACATAGAAAAAGTTTAAGCGTTCTCTTTGTTCAACATTCTATTTTTTTTTTAGAAAATTTGAAGATTTTTTCTTTTTTTTTTATTGATTGGCCTCACTTAATTTTTCAATTTAATATTTAGTATATAATATTGATAATTGATAATTTTCAAAACCTATAATCTAATAAATCTAATCGTCTCGTCTAATCCAACTAAAACTCTAAAATCAAACTAAGTTTATTTGAATTGAATACATTATTGTTTATAATCTAATCTCTATCTCCAAAATTAATTTCCTACTGCGAACATGAAGAAGAATGGAAGAAAGATGAGTCTTCTCCTTCACATAAACCTTGCCACTTTCCATTTTTCTTATTTTCTAATTTAGTGTTTCTATGCAAAAATAATTAATTTAGTGTTTATTGATTTTAGCATTAGAAGTTACATATTACTCTTTGTTTATGTGTTTCAATGTTTTTAATTTTTAGAGGTACTTTATGGATCAAAACTGAGTCCTTCAAAGACTCAGAATATTAAAAAAGCTCCTAGAGTTTCAATTGGAATTACAAGCAGCAAAAGGCTGTTCGAATGCAGACAGACCCAGCCCTTGTACCACTTCCGTATGTTGCTAATCCAACAGATGAGGTTGTAGAAGAAATTGAATATTCATTCAAGGAGAGAAGAACTGGATTTGTTCTTCCCAGAAATTACAATTACGTCAATAAAAGTTTAATATGAATCAGTTTGTAGATAACTAGAATTGTTATTATTTATACAATATCCATTCCCTGCTTGTCATGTGTGCTAGATTTTGCTTATTAAATTCTGTTTCTTTTCTTGGCTAGATTTTGCTTAATTAAATTTCGTTTCATTAAATTCTGTTTCTTTTCTTTTCTTTTTTAAATTTAATTTTTATAACCTTTTACTCAATTTTATGTTTCTTATATATTTCTTTCTTCCACGATTTTTTTAATTAATCTCATTTATTTATTATTTTATTTTTTGAGGTATGTATTTTCCTCGATTTACAGTCGAGTGTCTATACTTATTAAAATGTGCAATCAAGTGGTTGTGGCTGGTTTGGATAGCTAGAAAGCTGAGTCACTCAACGCCGGACCTATTTTTAATGTGTTGGCAATAGGAGTGTCAAAACGGGTTGGCGTGTCGAGTTCAACGCAGATTCGCCTAACACGCGACACGATTATGGTCAACACGAACAAGATCCGTTTAATAATCTGTCAAATTTCTCAACACAAACATAACACGAAAATTAGGCGCACGAATATGACACATGTAACCCAGCTAATATTATAAACAGGTTAAGTAGGTCGTGTTGATCCATATATGTCCGTATAACCTGCCCAATATCATAAACAAGTTAATTGGGTCGTATTAACCCATATACGATCCACTTAATCTACTTATGATATTTTTAAGTTTTAGCCTATTTAACTTAAATCATATTTAAAAATAAATTTTTATATATAAAATGTATATATTCTCCAAGATTCATAATTAAAATAATAAAAAATTTACACAACAATAAATTTTAAATAAGGTTTTAGTTAGATATTTATATTTGACACTAAAATTATCTCTTTACCCTAAAATAAACGGTCACTCACTTAACTCACGTGTCAAACTGTGGATAAATAAATCTATATTCCATTGAAGAATTATTGCTTGATGACTGCATACCTTTCAGTAATAAAGGTAGTGAAAAAAATTTATTCATTCGACAAAATATTTCAACATCTACAAAAAGATTACCATCCTCATAGAAAAATAAAACAATCAGTTGTGGCAACCCTCTGAAAATAAAACAATCAGTTGTGGCAACCCTCTGAATTTTCAACACGGTTTTGAATGCTCTGAATTTCACACCGGTTTGAATGGAAAGAACAATAATGTTATTTAGAACATTTTTTTCATAAAAAGCTATTGCATTCATAAATCACAATTCTCATACTAAAAATGAAGTCACAGGCTTATCTTTAGAATAATGAGAAATTTCGAAAATAAAATCTAAGTTAAAATAAGGGAAAATTATTATTTAGTCCCTCAGGTTTTACATAATTATCCAACTAATCCCGAGGTTTGCGCTAATATATAACTATTCTCTCAGATTTAACTCCGTCTAATTAAAAGGTCCTTCCATCCGAAAAGTTGATTTTTTTCCGTTAAAATCAGTTCAAAACGAAGGCAGACATTTTATAATGACGAAGAATGCCCTTACTGAACTGTGCATGAAAATAAAGGAGGTTTGACCAAATTTCATTCTCAGAAAACGCAGAGAAAGGAAAAAAGGGAAAAAACAAAAGCTCATCTCCGTTTCATTTGCAGGTAACAAGCGACAGTCTACATGTCTTCTTCAAGTGCAGCCGATGGAGCATGGGAAGGAAGGTATGTGAATATGTACTGGTGTGTCCTCTATTCTCCATTATCATCATTTCATCTCTTCTCTATTTCAACGATGTCTACAGCCATTTCTCAGATCCACTCCCTTTCTCGACATCTACCCTAAAGTTTCTTCACCGGGTATCTGCTTCTCTTTTATGCTTTTTTTTTCTCATTTTCCTTTAATCATAATGGAGATTCTTAGCTGTTTATTGCTTCAATCTTTCTCTTATTTTCATACACACGCGTAAATTTTCCAATTTCCCATTTCTTTACTTTCCAATTTCCCATTTCTTTACCTGAATTGCTATGTGTTAGGCTTCAGAACTTCTGCAGTTGCTAAGTGATTGTTTTTTTCTTGCTTTGTTTGTTTTTTCTGATGTATTGGTTCTTAATATAATATACTCTGTGGGAATTTGTTCAAAGCCCAAGTCGCATGCTGGATGTGCTCAATAGTTTTTTTCTCTGATATATTTTGTTTTCCACGAATTTGTACTGTGGCTTTTTGTTTTCTCAAACAAGCCAATGATTTTATTTCCTTGCAAGTTTGATTGAGTTAGTTGACGCGTACTTGAATTCCTTGCTTAGTGATTTCTATGGTTTTCTTTTTACCTTTGTGGTTAGCATTTATGGTTTCTTTTTATTATTCTTTCTTCCTGCTTTTACCTATTCTGTTTGGTTTAAATGGGGCGCCAAAGTTTTATGGTGATAGTTGATTTACAGTTTCATATCTATTCTTTAATATGAGTTTTGGTGGCTTTTAGTTGTGTTAAATTCATAAATAGGCTTGTAGTGTTCTGTTTAATGCATGTATTTTTCTGCTTGTCGTTGTTGTGGTTTGTTAAAACTAATATTGAATTGGCAATAAATAGTAAATTTCATTGTTATAATATTTTTCCCCAATTTTTGTTATAGTTTATTGCTATAGTTCATCAAATTTGTATCTGTGTTTTTCCCCAATTTTTGTTATAGTTTATTGCTATAGTTCATCAAATTTGTATCTGTGTTGAATCTGAGAATCATAGTCCTATCTACTTTGGAACTTTCAAGCAGTCTTCTTTGTTATTAACTCTTATTCTTTTTCAGTAATCAACAGCTTGAGAGAGTTTCCCTCGCTTGGAAGGAAGGTCATACTAGTCCATGTCAGCGAGGAAGAGGTGTTTTAGTATTTTAGTCTTTAATTAACGGCAAAAAACTAACTTTTCGGACGGAAGGACCTTTTAATTAGACGGAGTTAAACCTGAGGGACTAAATAATAATTTTCCCTTAAAATAAATTTAATTTCAATTATGCCTCCTTTTGATAGGAAAATATTATATTGTTTTTACTCATGATTTCACTCATTTTGATACTGATGGATTGTTTTGGAATTGATTTGATCTTCTTAATTTCATTGCAACTATGGGTCAGTTCAGCAAAATTAGTTATTTTGGTAGTTACTAGTTGTTTTAGTAGCTTTTCATGAAACGCTAAGAACTAAACGTATAAAACGTTATCATAATCTCTAAAAACTAATCCAAACGCTATGTTACCAAACAACTTTTTTAAGTAAACACTAAAAGCTACTTAAACAACTGTTGCCGAACACAACATATATACTGAAACTTCATTGATGGGATACATGGATTCAAGGTTGTGTTTGACAACAGTTTTTTAAGTAGCTTTAGTATTTTTGCCGGTTAAAGCTTTAAATGCTATTTGAATTAGCTTTCAAAAGTTATAGACAATCTTTAAAAAAGTTAACCTCTGTAGTATTTAGCTTTCAACATTCTATAACAAACTATCTAAACGGATACTAACTACTAAAATAGTTAACACCTATCAAATCAATTAATTTTTCCTAAAAGACCTTAACACGTGAAATAAGAACATCAGTCAAATTCAAGCATGGTGAACGTAAATTTATCTTTTTTACATATTACTGAAATTTGAATATAATATTTATGGAAGTGATAGGCAAGTATGTGTCTGTGTTTTTTCTTTTTTCTTTTTTTTTTTAAATCCATATTTATCTAATGCTTTTCCCTATGGAAAATCTGAATCTTTTGTTATTTAACCTTTTGATCAATAATTACAACATTTTGTTATTTCTTCTTGTGAGAAAAAAAAAATTTTAAACTAATTTAGAATTATTTTAACTCAATTAGGGATTTTAATATTTTGGTAAAATAAAAAATGTCCTTAAAAATTTGTTGCTATGGTAATATTAACTCAATTAAGAGTATTTGAACTTAATTAAAAACTTTAATATTAAAGAAAAAACTGAATTAGGATAATTAGAAATATTTAAACTCAATAGGAACTTTAAATTAAAGAAAACTGAATTAGGAATAATTTAGAAATATTTAACACTCAATAGGAACTTTTTTTTTTTTTTTTTTTGAAAGGAAAAAAGGTCATTGTTATTTAAAACTCAGGGAATAGATGGAATATGAATATGAATGCCTGATTAGCGTTGTCCTTTTTTCCTTGTTACCTCTGTATACGGGGAAGCAAAATGTGAAGGATAGTGAAGAGAAGTTGCTTATCCGCTGCTAGCCGGACATATTAAATATATTTTGTAGAGATTTTTCAGGGATAGCAGATAAGAGCGGTTTGGAGTAATTTTAATGGGGATAATTTTATTTTTAATATCTTTAAATGGTTTTCTTTTATATTTGAATATTATCAATATTTATTTATTCCAAATATTATTATCCAAGAAATTATTTTAACTATTAGGTGATTCAAATAAGAAATCAATATTTAAAAAATAACAAATATTGTTAATCCTTAATTAGGAAAGAAAGAATTTCATTAATAATTTAATTACTTATGATGATCAAAAATTAAAAATAACAAAATATTTTAATTTAATTAGGAAAAAGAAAAGAATTTCATTAATAATTTATTATTATGATGATCAAAAATTAATATTTGAACTTAAGTTGAAATTCCAATATTTTTACAAAATTGAAAAGGATAAATAATTTAATTCAATGACGAACATTCGAATTATTAAGGCTTAGTTAGAAAGATGCTTCTTTTTGTACTATATTTTCCTTTTCAATTAGAGGGATTCGGTTATTATTTTTCTTTGGCTTGAATATTTTCAATTGTTCAAACATAATTCAATACAAATGTTAAATATATTTAAACTTAATAATCTAAATTACGTATAAAAAAAAAGGAGGTGAAATGTAAAATCATGGCTATGTGAGAGGGATTCAGAGATTGAGGTTTATTGATAGGGTTAGGTATAAGATCTCTATAAGAGATTCATGGACTTTACTCATGTATATGTATTTTTAATTTCATTAATTTAATTTATAAATGGATTATAAACCTGTTCTAGATAAGGTTTCCTTTTTTTTAAATTCCTATATAAGAAAAAAAGAAGAGGTAAAAACAGAGTAAAGAGAGAATGGGAGTACGGGAAGTCATGGAAGAAGTGATTGCTGAATTCAGTGACCAAGAAGAAGTAAAAACTGTTATGGAAGAAGCAATCAGTAAACTCACTATCAAAGAAGAACAAACAGGTCAGGAATTTCTCTGTCTTTATCTCTCGTCCTCTCAAAATTGCGCACATATTTAAAAATAATCAGAGATTGATGCTAAATTGTTGCTTTTGATTTTGATGTTTAATCAACAGATATAATCAGGGTACTAAGGGATCGTCCACCTGCTCACTATCTGTTTAAGATCGAAAACTTCTCTAAACTTTCTGATGCAAAGGTCGAGAATTTTCAATCAAGTGATTTTGAAGTTGGCGGATACAAATGGTGGGTTCGATACAAATGGTGGGTTTTTAATTTCAATTTCAATTTTTCTTTTTTGCTGAGAGGAGCTGCATTAGGGTTTTACCTGATGTTTAAGATCGAAAACTTCTCTAAACTTTCTGATGCAAAGGTCGAGAATTTTCAATCAAGTGATTTTGAAGTTGGCGGATACAAATGGTGGGTTTTAATTTCAATTTCAATTTTTCTTTTTTGCTAGAAGGAGCTGCTAGGGTTTACCTGATTCCAGCACCGTGAGACTTGCACTCTACTACTGGATAACAAGCCAAACAGCTTATTTTTTTAGCAACCTGTTTTGAATTCATTTATATCATATAAGATATTTATATTATAAATACTGTTTTAACTTTTTGTATTTGTTCATTCAATTTTTTTATTTGAATGTTCATTTCTGGCATCTGATTGTCCTAATGTTGTTAAGCCAGTGAGCAATACCTAACATCTTGGCTATTGTCTTGGTGCAGGAGGCTGTCTCTTTACCCTGAGGGAAATAAGAAAAAAAACGAAGATAACCACCTATCTCTATATTTAGCACTATCCAATTCAAATGGATTACCCTTCCACAGTTCGGTTAATGCTTTCTTCAAGTTGTTTGTTTATAATCAAATTCAAGACAAGTATTTGGCTGTTCAAGGTACTATAGAGTTGATTTATACGTACCCTGCCATAATTCAACTGTCATCTATGTTCTTCAATTTATTGAAATATCTATATGCTTTTGATCTTTTGGGTCAGATGGTAAGGAAACAGAAAGGCGTTTTCGTGGAATGAAAACAGAATGGGGGTTTGACCAATTTATTTCGCGTGATGCTTTTAATGATGCTTCAAATGGATACCTTATTGACGATTGTTGTGTATTTGGAGCTGAGATTTACATAATGGAAGAATGTACTGGTAAAGGTGAGTGTATGTCTATTGTGAAGGAGCTTGCTAACAACACCTTCACTTGGAATGTTCAAATTGAGCTAAACAGAGAAAATTATAGGTCCGAGGTGTTTGATATTGGGGGGCATAAATGGTGAGTTAAGATTGATATCAATAACTCCATTATTGCACGGAACCATAAATTTATATTCTTTTCAATTTCATTTAGGAGTTTATCGCTTAATCTCAATGGGTATGGAACAGCAAGAGGTAAAAGCTTGTCCGTGTTTTTATTCTCAGAAGATTCAGACATAAAGGTTGATGCTGAGTACATTCTGCGTGTAAGGGATCAACTATCTGAAAAACATCAAGAAAAAAAAGGTGAGTGGCATGGGCCAAGAATAATTTATATTTCTAATATATTCTGGCTTATAAGAAAATATATGAAATTTCATAAGAGGCTAATGAGAAGGGTGGGTAGAGTTTGGACTCTATTGGTCGAAGATGCTTTGATACAATATAAACTATAAAGAAACCATTAACCTAAAAGCTTGAACTTTATAGGCAAGGATTCTATAATAGTTTAATTGCTAATATTCCTCTTCTTGAACAACGTAACCAATGTGATATATCATGAACAAAAAGCCTGTTTCTATTTCAAAAACATTGTTTACTTCAGTTTTTGCTGGTTAACTTCATTGTTTCTGATGTTCTGTAGCTACACATCAATTCAGTACTAAATCCAACAATTGGGGTTACAGTGATCTACTTCCTCTTAGAGATCTCAATGATACATCAAAGGGATTCATAGTTGGTAATACCGTGATTGTTGAAATCCAAATGCTTTTCATGACAGTGGTCAAGGAGTTCTCTTGAAGCTATTGTTGTACTAGACTTTTGCCAGTTCTCTTGAAGATATTGTGGTACTAAACTTTTGCCTTTTGACCTATTGAAAAAAAATAAAAATGCAATTAGCTAAATTAGTAGATATAAATGTTAGCTAAACTTGAATGTTTTTGAATTGAGCATGTTTCTTCAGGTTGAATGTTCCTACTTACTGCTTCATAGTATGTTACAGACAATACTTCTTTTCTTGCAGTGGCAGAGGTTTTAAACTTAGTCAACATTGCATTTTTGTTTTCTTGTTATATATATATATATATATATATCGCAATCTCTTGTTCAAGCATATGCTGCATTAATAGTAATTTATTAAAATTAAATGTTGTTTTATAAATTAGAGATTGATGACAATTCAAAGTTGCATATATTTGACTTTAATAATGAAATATATATAATGTTAAATCAAATTTTTATTTAAACAATCATTGATATTTTCTTTTAAAAGTAACTTGTGTGCTCAGATGAGCTGTTTCTATCCTTAGAATGCTGACATATGCATTAGAGAATTTTTTTTTGAATGATTACTCATTGAATCTAAATAATATTACAACTTGTTAGTTTCAAAGTCAACTGCAGAGTTGCAAATCTTCTGCATCAGTGTCACTCTCTTCTTGCTTGTGATTGGATAATCAAATTTCAACACTGTTTTCGTGAAGCAAATCACGCTACTGATTGTTTAGCAAATATTGCAGTGTTTGGGGATCTTGGAAAGCATCTTCTTCTTCATCCTGCTGACCAGCTTCGAGATTTTTTGTGTTGAGACTTGCAGGATCTTGCTTAGCATAGGCTGATGTCTATGACTTCGCTTTTGATGTGTTTTCCTTTTGCGGTTTTCCCTTCCTCTGTATCCAAAAAATTTGTAAAAGAAACAGAAAAAATAGGAAATAACTTTTCAGGGTCTTGTTATTTGGCATTTCGGCCGAATGATAGATCCCGAATAATAAATAATAAAAAAAACAACAGCAAATATAAATTTTAGGTTGATGTTTATAAAGATAATTGGATTTTACATTTTACGAAGTAAATAGATTTTTCTACCGATTTCTATCATTTAAAATTAAATTTTATTATTTAAGTGTTAGAAAAATCATTTAGCAATTTTAACTTTAATTATTCAAAATATAAGTAGTAGATACATATTGAATAAATATTATTTACGGACATACATATAAATTAATGCTCTTATAATATTAATTTTTCATTTCATTTTAGATATGAGCTGTATTCTACGATAGCTTTTTAAATATAAATGTTATTTTTTATTTAAATATAAATGTTATTTTTTATAGTATTCGATAATATAGTGTATGAACTACCTTTTAGAGGTTAAGGTATTATATTATAAAAGTTAACTCATGTAACGTTTAATTTTAACGTTTTATAAAAAGCTATTCAAGAAAAGCTAATAGCTAAATGTTATTAAAGCACTTAATAATAAGAAAAACAACTAACATATGAGATTTATTATGTGGCATAAAATAAATTTGCTCTTATAATATTAACTTTTCATTTAACTATGTAGTCGTCAACTCTCCTAGCAGTTGTCACTAGCGAGTGTATTGAATTAGGATTGTGTTAGATTTTAAAAAAATTGTTGAGATTAATGGAATTGAATGATTTTTTAAGATTTTCACAGATTTCACTAGAATTCTACATATAGTTTTATGGAATTAGTGAGACTTTTTTTTATAGATTGTAATTGACTTCAATGAAATTATAATGATTTTTTTATATCCAATCAAAATTAATTTCAAGACCTAATTGCACAAATGAAAAGGTATTAAGCTCAATTGAAAAATTAAAAAATAATGAGGGACCAACATATAAAATGCTTCATATTCTCGATTACAATCTTACTGTCACCAACAGTGAAAAGCCTGCAATGGCCATCGTCGTTGCCAGCTATCTGTGCCCCCCAGAACAGTCGTGATGTGGTCAGAAGATCACGGGCTTCTTGTCCCTTGACTGAACGATGACTGTCTTGTCAGAAAATCATAGGTTTATATATATTTAAAATCAAAAATCAGCAACCACCGCTAGCTAGGACTTGCGCCGATCACAACAACTTGCACAAGGAGGCAACGCATATTCAGACAGGTTTGATGCGTGGCACACCGCCTACAGCTCACCTGAGCCTGACGGTCCCAACACAACAACAATAGACTATGTTCTTCAGTTCTTCAACTATTTCAAAACTTTTTCAATTTTTTTTGATTAAATTAATATTTAATAGAAAGCAACTCATAAAAATTTAAGAAAATAATCAAATTAATTTTGAAAAATTTGAAGTAGAATTAATATTAATTTTTGTCAAACTATCAAATTTACGTTTAAACGATGATTCTGATATCAATCTTTTGTTTTGACTTGGAAATTTTCAGGATGAGAGTCGATCGAGTGAGAGTTGAAATCTTTAAGTTAGAGGATAAATTTGTAAATGACTTTTCTATTTATACCTAGCACCCTAGAATTCAATGAAATCAATAATTTTATAAAATCCTTCCATATCATCAAATTTTTAAATACCATCAAATTTTGTATGGACCTTTACAAAATTATAATTGAATACTATCACATTTTTAAGGATTTTATAAGAATTTGAACTGAATACCACAAAAATTTTAATAAACTCCAACAAAATCTAGATAAAAAATCATGGAAATTTTAAAATCTAATCCTAATCCAATACACTCCCAAATATAAGCTTTTAAGCATGAAATATCCTTAAATCAAATCCTTTTTTTTTTTTTTTGAAATTCCTAAATCAAATTACTGTTTGTATACATTTTTGCAAAAACAAAAAAAAGTTATATAACAATTAATTTCACATATATGTAAGAAACTCCGTGTAAGAAACTCCGTGCAAGCGCATATCAGTAATAATATCCCTTTTACAACATTATCCCTTTTCTTCTATGTTCTTTCGTTTTTGCCGTACACCTTTTAGCTTTTACTTCTCCCCTCCTTTTCTTACTTTTCCATTTTTCCCTTTAACTATCAGAAGCTGAAGATTGAGAGTATTGTGAATTAGCTTTTAAAATTAATTGGGATATATATATGAGGAGGCCGAATGCATAAAATCCCTTTTGAACTTTTTCATTTTAACTATTTGTCTACTTCAACTTTGCAGAGACCTAATGTGCCCATGAATTTTTAAATTTTGTAACTATTATACCCCTCGCCAAGTTGTAAAGGTAGCGCGTGAAACCAAATAATGCATAAAATCCCTTTTGAACTTTTTCATTTTAACTATTTGTCTACTTCAACTTTGCAGAGACCTAATGTGCCCATGAATTTTTAAATTTTGTAACTATTATACCCCTCGCCAAGTTGTAAAGGTAGCGCGTGAAACCAAATATAAAATGGAGCGTGATCACTTGATTAAAAGTCTAGCATGGCAAAAATGAAGTCGTTTTTCTTTTTATTCCAAAGCGTCACTTTTTTTTTTTCAATCTCTCAGTTCATTTTTCTCTCTCTACTCCTCTCCTTTCAATCTCTTTCTTTGTTTTTCTTCCCTCCTCTCCTTTCAATCTCTTTCTTTGTTTTTCTTCCTCTATTCCTATCCTCTTCAATCTTTCAATAGATATCTCTTTAATTGTATTTCTTTTTCTTCTTTTCAATTTTCTCTTCTTCTCCTCCTTAATTTCTTTACAATAAAGTCTATGAAATTTTGATTTTGGATCCTTAAAATCCCCGAAATCAATTTTTCACAACTCATCACCTCCCCCCATTGCTGCGCTACACAGGTCGAAAGTGGAGAGGGAGAGAATGGCGGAGAGGCAACGATGGCAAGTTTGGATCGATCGAAAAGTGGAGAGAGAATAGTCGATGCTGGCTTGACACAAGCAAATGATCAGGAAAAAAATAAATAAAAATTGAGGGGAGGGCTGTGCACAATCAAGGAGAAGGGACAACATAGTTTTAGGTTGGAGCCGATTTGGGTTGATTAAGGTTTGATTTGGCTCAAATAATGGATTTTCACTTGGTTTTTTAATTGGTTTGGAGATTTCTAATAGGTTTAAATTGGTTTAGCACATAAAAATGCCACGTGGAATAAAGTATGTTGGTATGTTTAAAAAAAATACCATGCATGAACGATTTTATTTCACGCTTAATTCTGTGATTGAATAGAGATGTAAAAGATACAAAAAATATCTAGTTCAGGGGCACATTAAGTCCCATAAAGGTGAAGTTGACAAATTGTTAAAATGAAAGTTCACGAGGGGTTTTATGCATTCGACCTATATGAGGGAGAGGATAACTTATATTAGGATAAGGATATTGAGAATCCTATTTCATCTGGTAGTTAGAGTCTGTTTAGGAATATATATGTATGAATGTTTATATATTACTAGTGTTTTCTTGTGACGTGCGTTGCACTTATTAGTATTCGATATTAGTTATTGTTTATATTCATCAATCTATTCTTATATAGTATATTGTTTATATTCATCAATCTATTGTTTATATATCTTGGAAGCAAAAGAATATTTTATTTTATTTTAATTCTTTTTCTTTTTTAATACTCTATTGCTTTTCTTATTATTATTATTAAGCATAAATAGTTTCCTTTGTAATATAGTTTGATTGTTTTAGAAGACTTGATTAGATATTAATATATTAGCTATTAAGGAGACTTGATTTCTAATTGTACTTAGTGCTTTGTAATATTGTTATGAAAACCTAAAGCAAAAAGAATATTTTATTTATTGTTTAATCTTTTTCTTTTTAAAATACTCTAATTGCTTTTCTTATTGTATGGTTGTGAAGATGCTGATATCAGCATCTATTATAAAATTACGCCTAATCGTTAAACAAATTAGGTTTTGTGATGGTTTGTTAATGGTAACACACATATGATTAGATATATGACAAATAATAATATTCAAAGCTATTATTTAGTGTGAAAGACTTTAGGAATTCTTGAGTATACTGTTAGTGCTTTGGGTAACATATTCATGCAAATAAATCTGAGCAAAGAGACTGAAAAAAGAATGAGAATGTGATGGCATAACTAAGGCTCAGGCACTGAAGTAACTATTAACGAAATCGGGACAAACCTATGTATGCTTCAAAGATGAGAACTATCTAAAGGATTCATCATTTTCCTGAGCAGACCATCTGAGATTTAAAACGGGATGACCAATTGGGCCTGGACCGGCAATTTAATGGATCCATCTACTAAAATTACTAGCACAATGCCCGTAGGGGATTCTACAGTGGCCGATCAATTTTGTACTCAGATAGAATCACATTTTAAACGTAATTGCGTGTGATGACGTATCGAGATGAATAGTTATAAATAGATACTAAACGACCAACCTAAAGGTAAAACACTGCAAGATATTGGGTAGATATGTAAGACTCCTCAACTAAGTTAATATATACGCTTTGTCAAAACACACTTAGACGGATATTCAGCTAACTACTCTTATATGAGGGAAAAGAAGTATCTTGTCGTAGGTCTTGTGTCTAGACGGGCTCCATTATTTTCTATTTTATTAAGTAATAAGTAGAATAGCTCGAACAACCATTCCAGTTGGCCTCCCAATTTAATTTACAGATATTATATCGAAATTTAGCTGTATATGTGCAAAGTGTATTCAATGTCGCAAATAAATGGTGGTTGACAAATGATTGCAGAGAAATTGGCATAATTAAAATCCCCTAAATTAACGATTTTTCGATGCTATCTACTCCTATTAAAAAAACATGTTAACTCTAATATTGCAAATGTACTAGGACCTAAAAAATTTGCTTTCTAGAAAATTACTTAAATGAACAAATCTAGCGACAAATAATTATTTATTAAAATAAATATAATTAAAATTTAACGACATCAATAACGGACAGATTTTACCCCGTAAACAATGACAAAAATAGCAATCAAAAATTAAGAACAATTTCCAGGTATATCATGATTAAGAAAGCTATTAAATATTTTGTCTAAGCTCAGTTTCATAAAATAAAGTAATTTAGATACTAACGAAAAATTTTAATGTTTGAGCGAG